TGCAAAAGAAGAAGCAGAAGAAGAGGAAGAAGAAAAAGTTGAAAAGAGGGCTCACTGATAAGTTCCAGTCAGATTGAGAGAAGAAAGATAAAATATATTGCGATTTTGGGACCTGCCGGTAACCCGATTGTGCTCATGGTGGGGAATTGAAGATGACGTGGGCTACCTGTGCTCATGGTGGGGAATTGAAGATGACGTAGCTTACGATTGCGATAATGGTCACAGTGAGGTCTTGTAGCGCCCCAAAAAAAGGATACGTCAACTTAAAATTAAAAAAAAGGGAAGAAAATACGATGGCGCAGACCAGTTCCTACTGGCTATGGTGTTGGTCGTAGACACGGATTGAGTTCACTGGTGCTACCGTCTTCACCCAATTAGAACGCCTGGTCACTATAGCTGCATCTTGGGCAGCCATGATGACCGGGCTCTCTATTCGGGTGAAGACTGTAGTGTTGCTGCTGCTGCTGTTGTTGCTGCTGCTGTTGAATAGGTGATGAATTCTATGCTCTATTTAAACCACCATGGTCTTTTCTTTTTTTTTTCCTGATATTTTTCCTGGAAAGATCACAATCTAATCTATGGGATTTCAAATTTTCAGATTTTTCGTCAATACTTCTGAGCGCCACTTGAAAATTGCTGGTAACAAAAAAAAAAAAAAAAAAAAAAAAAAAAACTGGTTTCGGCCCCCCTGTAAACCCAGTCTGTATGGCCAGGAAAGCCCAAGTTTAGACGTAGGGGGACGTGGGAAACCCAGTCCGTATAGCCAGGAAAGCCGAATTTTTGACGTTGGGGGACATGGGGGGTAGTAGTGGTTTAAACCACCAGTACTTCCTAAAGTCGTGCCGGTTAACAAGCCACAATTTTAGGAAACGTACGGACCACTACAGGAGCGCTCAAATTCATCCGACTAGAAATGTTTCTACTCTATTTTTGTCCACGGCCCATAGCTGGGCCAAGTACTGGTGGTTTAAACCACCAGTTTATACGAACCTCAGCAGTGCTTGTAGTGCTTGTATTCGCGGGTACACCGCCTGGGCCGGTAGTGAAAGCGCCAGGCCACTTTGAAAGGCACAGTGGCAGGCTTGCGGACTGACCTTGGAAGGTAGCTTCGTCAACTTAGGCTCTTGTGAACTGGTGGTTTAAATCGAAAATAGAGAAAAGAGACGGTTCGTAACTCATCAATAGGCATGGAAGAGACATAATATGGAAACTTTACTTATGGTCAGTGGAGAGGTCTCACTTGCACAGATTATTAAGACAATGATAATAGATTGTAAAAGAAAAAGGAAATTAATAACTTGTAATAAGGGATAATATTAGTAATGTGGGTCGATAAAGTCAAGATTGACGGTGGGGGATATCTTAACCAGTGGGGGATCTTTTGACCAGTGGGGGATCATTTGACCAGTGCATTGGCACGTGGAACCTCGCGCCACAGCAGATATAGTAAACATTCGAGTAGCAGGGTGAAAATTCTTTTTGCTTTTTGTTTTCTTGAACAAAATGAATCATTTTGTCCATTGGGACATCCGTTAAAATTGGGACGATACAGAGAAGATTAGCATGGCCCCTGCACAAGGATGAGACAAAAAAAAAGGCGGGGGCGGGGAGTGGGGGGAATTGGAGCATTTCTCGATTTCTGCGTGTCATCCTTGGACAGTGGGCCGCACTGATAATCTAGTTCCTTTTTTTCTACGTTTTTGTTTTTTGATGGAAAATGTTATCATTGTTACAACTTACAAGCACTTGCCCTTCTCCCCCCCCCCAAGCTTTGCTTGCGGCCAGAGGAGAAGGGGGGGGAGTCAGAAAGGGAAGTAGAGTTTCTCCTCTCAGTCATCCATGCAATAGGGAGGAGGCAGAAGTGGAAGCTGTGGGCCATTTCTTTTCCACATTGATTTGATGCATTAGTGGATATAAGATGACACGGACAAAGACAACAAATACGTATTTGATGATTATTAAAACAAATGCTGGGCCCAGTTCCCAGCACGTGTTGCTCCCCACGAATAGATTGGAGCATGTCCAATTCAAAAAAAAAAGAAGAAAAAAAAAAGGCACCCTCAAAACCGAAAAATCAAATTCTGTGTTACTTCATGGTCAATATGGTCTGCTGAAATTTCCTCTATTCCTACATGCATATGCCAAAAAAAGCTGCTTTGGGAAGCCGAGTTTCTCTCTTGCTCATCCATTCAATAGAGACGACGCAGAAGGGAAGCCGAATTTCTTTATCACTCGTCTATGCAATGAGAGCAACGCAAAACGGAAAAGTACTGGGATACTTTCTCTCGGAAGCAGAACTTTTTGGTGCTATGGGGGTTGGCTGCAGTGTTATGTCCATGGGCCATTGTGCAGCACCATGCTGCCTCGGTGCAGTACCATATGGGTCGTATCGGGTGCTAGGCAGGGCAGGGCAGGGCAGGGCGTGCAGAACCATTATGTACTTGAAACAGACACACACACACACACACACACACACACACACACACACACACACACACACACAGATTGCAGGGTTGGTGCGAGTAAAGTAGACCACTTTTCTCAGGGGTATGGCTAACTCTGGGCGAGTGGTGAGTCCTTATCCATCAGTCAAATGCATCCTGGGCAGACTGTCGGGGTTCAACCTCCTGAAGAGTAGGTGAAAGTGCGACGAAACAGTCTGGCACAGTCATGCTTTTTTTGAGTGTATAGCGAATATGACAACACACGCACAGAGACACCGTTCCCACAAAGCATGAAAAAAGGAGCACCACGGTTGGTGGTACTGTGGATCTGCTGCGTGATACCATGTGGGTTTGGTGGTACCATGTGGATAGGGTGGTCTGGCTGTGGAATACTATGTGGGGTGGGTCATCCTATATGGACTGGAGGGTACTATGTGGGCTGGGCGGTACAAATGTGGGACAGGTGGGTGATGCTACTCAGGATAGGTGCTGCAATGTGGGGTATGTTGGACTGTACCATGCAATACTACGTGGGTTGGGCAGCATCATGTGGACTGGGTGGTACCAAGGGGGGTGGGTCATAGAAGTTGACGGTACTAACAGAGACACGGCCACACACACACACACACACACATGGCGGTAAGGAAAGAAAAGCACACCCGCCCAACCTTAGGCAAAACTGGGCCCTTGGCACGCTAGGTAGTATGTGACATATTTCCTCTTTTTTCATGAAGGACCCAGGCCATGTGGCCACGTCCTGTCCAGACTTGACAATGGTCGATGGCATTGCATGGATTGTAGATAGATAGACTGGTGCGAGGCACAAGGCCTCAATAAGCCCTACCGGGCCCTATTTGCAACAGGTCGGCCGCCCTAAGTGAAGGCAGGCTCCACAGATGACAAGAGGCCTATTTTGGACTACTTCGGAACTGGGGTAAAATTCAGGCAGTTGCGCAGCACCAGTTGGTTGAAGGCGCCCAGGCCCTGGCCTTCTTTATCAAATGTATCTAAGTCAGGCCCTGGGCGAGATACGCAGCATGGACCCAACTCAGACTGTGGGCAGTTGGGCACGGGTAACTGTCGGTGGCCCTGGGCCTGATTCGTTTGGACTGAGGCTCAGCCTCCCTGGGCCTACCGGAAGCTTCTGGGCTGGGGCCCAGTACCGCAACACAGCACGCAGCAGCAGGCCACTTCGATATAGGGAAGGGCCTGGCCACGCATTGGACATTCGGGCTCTGGCTGCATGCTGCGCAAGCGCTGCTGCGATAACGCTGGCCAGGCTCACGCGCTCACGGGCGAGCTGGAAGGAGCAGGCAGCCATAGCTGAGCTGCGGTGTTGTATGCTGGATGGGGCGCATGGTGGTCCTTGGGTGCATGTGGCATCTGTGAGTTGGGGAGCGAGGTTGTGAGTGATACAAGAGACATACCTGGTGCTTGAAGAGTACGGCATTGTCCGAGATCTGCTCGTACTTCGGGGAGCTGTTGACGTCATCAGTGGCATCGTAGAGCAGGCTAGATAGGATCTGCCATCTGTAGTCTGGGTGCCGAGCGCCAGATAGGATATCAACATTGGTTCTTCGTTGATGATGATGAGACTATTCCAGCATTGTCAATCATAAGCTTTTGGTGTGCCCTTATTTGGTGAAACTCGTGATGCAATTCTGCTATTGGTTCGAGGTCACGACTATCTGGTCTCATGTGTATGATGCTGTTTGATTTCTGAAGTTCGCTATTGCTCGTCTTCCTTGCACTGGTGTTCGAATCCTAATATCAGATGAACAAAATACCTCTGAATTACCTGGGGGCAGCGGGGGCATGATACCTCAAGGCAGTTGAAACACCTAGGACAGAAATACATCATCAAACCGACAGCCCCACGTGATTTGGACGTATCTTGTTCATCTGATCACTGTGGGATTTGAACGCAGCTGTGCTTATCTAACTGTGCCACTCAGCCACATGGGCTGGGTGTATACACCTCCAACCCTTCTATTCGAACGGAACGCCAGCACAAGTACACCTCCAGCCCTTCTATTCGAATGGCACGCCAACACAAGTACACCTCCAGCCCTTCTATTCGAATGGCACGCCACGCAAACACAAGTACACCTGCAGACCTGTTCGAATGGCACGTGGAGCACAGCCAGAACTCCTGGCAGTACAAAGCCGACAAGACATGGTAGCTCAGTGGCTAAAGCTCGCGCGTTGCAATGGGGAGGTTGTGGGTTCGATTCCATCAGCCCTCAACCTTCCTCGTGCACGATTAGTTGGTGCTAGGGTGGCACCCCACGTACTTGTCCCTCAGTCTAGTACAGCGCATATATAGGTCAGATGTTGTTGAAGCTCAGTGGGTTTGAGCTGGGAGTTGTATACAAGAGGTTCACGGTTTGAGTCTGATTGGACCAGATAGATCATATTGTGCCTATATATATATGGGTTCAGCCTCCTGATGAGTCGGTGAAACTCCGACGAAACAGTTTGTCGCAGCCCCTCGTTTGTTGTCCTCTTCTCCCTCTCTGCCTACGGCTTACCGGGCAGCTCTGTTTCACGATATATATATATATATATATATATATGTATATATATATTTAGATAGATAGATAGATAGATAGATAGATAGAG